TCTTTTAACTACAGCAATCAGGTCTGTTTAGAGCAAAGAATAACTGAAATTTACAAAAATGTATATATAACTTAATTTAAAATTTAATCAAAATGATAAAACTTTAAAACTTCTTCAATTAATTCAATTCACCGACAAAAAATATCTGATAAGTACACTTCCTTTACCATACATTTCATTTTTTCCTTGGTTAAAATACAGTTTCAAAAATTGGCGGTCGCTTACATGGCTTAGATAGCCTTATATGTACATTCGCCGCGGAATCGTGAATTTAAGGTCGGCATCGTGTAATAATAAGTATAATTAAATAAGTAATACCCCTATGTACATTATAACTGACAAGCTTAAAAATCAAATAGGTTTAAAAGTTTGATAAAGTAATTGTTAAATTTCTGTAACCAAATCAGCCCCTGACATTGTTTTATTTGGATGAATTGCTTTAGTATTTAATGGAACATGGTATACATGATCCGGAAATAATAATTTTAATCGTAAACTGCAGTTTCATTTAATATATTTGTAAGAATATATAAAAACATTTTTAACTAATATTACAGGTATTGTATCAGGAAACCCAATTATTTTGCCAGCTTTCAATGATGTATTGGTGAACAGCAGTTTGGAACTGGCGTGTTATACAAACAAAAATGTAACTGTTACACAATGGGTAAGTTTAAATCACATGGGCTCATTTTCACACCTGTATCTTTCGGACAATGGAAGCTGTAAACCAGATGGGTTCCTAGCTGAAAATCGATATTTTGAAACGAGTTGCTATAGTAACGGTACCTTCAAAATAAACATAAAACGTGTAAATTTAAGTAACCATGGTCAAGAATGGTATTGTTATGACGAGAATAGAAAAAGTAATATTGCTAAAATAACTGTTCGAGGTAAGAATGTATGATTTTAGTATATTGTACACCTGTAAACAAGTGATTACGGTGAAGATAAATGTGTGAAATAGCATAAGACTAATTCATTTTATAACTATCTGATGAATCTCTCTTATTGAAATATAAAATTATTGAAAGTTAACATATTTTTTACAGGACAGTAGCCAAAAGGTTGGTTAGATTGTTTGATATTTTCATACCATGTTACAGCTCTTTTATTTTCTATCTAATCTCTGATATACTTCAAACCACTTGCCCCTCACCGCTGTGAGTTCGAATCCCGCCAGGGACTTGGATTCTTTCATGTGAGGAAGCTATCCAGCTAGCTTACGGAACGTCGGTGGTTCTACTAAGGTGCCCGTTCGTGCCTGAAATAATGCACGGAGGGACACCTGAGGTCTTCCTCCACCAGTAAAGCTGGAACGTCGCGATATGACCTATACTGTGTCGATGTGACGTAAACCCCAATCAAAAAAATCTCTGATATAGTTACTGTTCTACTTTTAAACCATAACTGATAATTCTACTTTCATACCCACAATCCGATAACTTCTTGAAATAAGCTGCTGTAAGAGAGAAAAAATAATTATATCGGCCTTCTCAGATGCTTATTCGAAAATATTATGTTCGAGAATAATAGTAGCGTAAGTTAACCCTATTAGCTATATCTCCATGTTACGTTCCAAATGCTTTGTTAGAAAAGTGATATTATATGTGAGAGGATTTGCTTCCACTATTTTCCTTTTAAGACATATATAACTGAATAAGATAATTGCTTCGACTAAATATGACAATTTTTTCAGTTCAACCGCGTAAGGTTCGCTTCAACTATGGAATAGTGGCAGAAGAGAGGTTAATTGTAAACCAAAATGAACAGGTGACTTTCCAATGCTTCGCGGAGTCTTATCCTCTTCCAGACATTGTTATAAAAAATCAAAGAGATGAAGAAATCATAATGATGAAAAATACAAGTTCTGTTCAACACATTATTCATAGGGTATCTTGTGCTGATGCAGGGGAGTATGTATGCTCTGCTAGAAATATGTTAACAAATGGACAAGGAGCACTATCAAAACTCGTCCTTATCGTGAGATGTTAGTTTTTAAACTCCTGTTCTGTCCGTAATTAATCATTTCTAAATTTGCGAATCTACGTGCATGACATTTGCACCTCGGTATAATATATAAAAAGCGTTGATATAAAACTAGACTTTACATAAAGGATTTCAGCTTTAAATATATTATCGATAACTCTTAGTAATATTGTACCTACTAGTATTAAACAATTTACTGATCCTTCTTACTTCACAGTAAAGAAGCACTGGAGCACCAACTTTAGTTTACAAGAGTATGAGTTTTAGACGAAAATTTGTGATTAAAACATGTCTACACCGTTGATTATGTTTATAGGTCCTCCACGTCCGTCAGCTGATACTTTAAGAGAGACAAAGATGCATTTTGACGTTACGTTGCAATATTTAGCTAAAGAGTTTCTTGACGTGCAAAACAAAACAGTATTTGCATGGTATAAACAGAACGTGCCATTACAAAATGACGGCAATAAGTATATTATATCATCTCATGGGTTACAGGCTAATTTGATCATCAGAAACATTACTCAGTCAGATTATGGACAGTACCGAGTTATTGTCAGAAATTCATTTGGACATTATACCCACTATTATGAAGTGCGGGAAAAGGGTAAAAAGTTGTTACAGTTATGATTCTTCAAACATCAATTAAAAATTCTTAAATATCTACTTTTCCTCTTAAGTAAAATATTTCAATGCAATAAAGCAGCACCTGATCTATGATTTTCGTTTCTAAAACAATTTTTTTTGATGTTCTGTTACAATTTTTTAAACAGTTTTTATTATTGATCATATGGGCGACTCAAAAGTTGTTTTGGTCAACTTGCCAGTAGTTATGTTATAAGTGATTTGGTATTTTGTTAATTAAGACAAAATACCACTTTGCTTACGTTTTTAATATTTATCTCTGCCTTTGCTGCGAAACAAATGTGCGAATGTAATACATAATAGTTTATCTTTGTGAAAACGTAAATGACATGTAACTTTTACTGTTTATAATTAATAATGTAGTTTTATTTTATTTTTTTAAATACAGCTCAACAGTCCTCAACGGAGCATATTACAGCCTCGGCACTATTAAAGATCGCCATTAGTATATCTATTTTCACATTTATAGTGGTTGTATTGGAATTCTCCTATTGGAGGTGTATCAGGTAATACAAATGTCACCAAAAGACAGAAGAACCCAACCCAAAAGTATCAAAATAAAGCGTTATTTAATGTCTTGTTTCGCTTAAATTGATGATAAAATGTTTATTTCATACACAGTCTATTTACCTCGTTCGGACTTTTGGTAACATTACAAGTTTATGAAAATGGTTTTCTCTCTTATATAAAAAACATTCGAGATTATTTTTGGATAAATTACATATAAACAGCTATAAAACCGCTGTTGCTACGTTATTAGTTATCTTTCATTTCAGACTTAAACAAATTCTGAAGATAAAAGACAGAAAGACAGCTGGTATGCAGTTTTAACACATGTTTGATTCCGTAATTCTACTATTTCTATCGGTCACAATTAATTAAGATAATCTAAACGTAAAGAAATATCATAAAAGTTAGATAAGAATTGATGATACCCTAATGATAGAAGAAATATCATTTTACCGAATAAACATGATTACGTATTTTAAGCATGTGGTACCATTTTGATTCTATCAAACTTCGTATTTCTTAAAGGAACTCCACTGTGGTCAAAAGCCTAATAATTATAATAAAAATTTGAATTTCTCACAAATATGAGCATGGACACTTGAACAAGAAAACTGTAAAGAAATAATGAACATATATACTCAAAAACAAAATGAAAGTCGTACTTTTGTGATATTTTCAGTTCCATTTGAATGAAAAGCGTTGCAACACGTTTTCAATTTCGGGTCAGCTTCCACATTTAGAATATTATTCCATTATTATTATTGGTCTCGACCTACAACGAATGGAACATTAATGTTAAAAAAATTATTCCAATCCCCGTCATGTCAAAAAAACTCAATGGAGCCCCTTTAGATTATACAAAACCATGTATATAGTAAGGATTAAGTAAGTGTTATTATTCAAAATGCATCCACGCCTTGTTTACTGTGCAAATCATAGCGGGACGTGTGAGTTTTGGTACAGTAACTATCTCGATATAAATGATTTATAATTGTTTTTTTAAATGTTTTGTTCTAGATATTATAACTGAATATCAGACCACTACTGGAGATAATGACAATGCTGCTGATAATGGGTATGAAGAAATTGATGAGCAATGTAAGGCTAGAGAGGCATACATGGACATGCAAGGAATCAAAACGGATAATGATTCCAACTGTGAATATATAGATATGAAAATACAGACATTATCAATCGAAAACAATTATGGATAGTAATCGAAGTCGTTTTGTACAAAATTTATTTGTTTCTCGTTGAATCCATATATAAACGTTTTCACATATTTTTGCTACTGTAAATTTATCCAGACATACATGTATTATACCTGTTTTGCATTATATATTGAGAGAATTCCCACCTATGCTCTGTGATGATTATACAGTTGACTAAAACTCACCTGTTCCTTTTAAACTTTTAAATCCATATTTGTGAATCACATGGTAACCTTGATGATCTGATAAAGAAATACAAATTAAACACTGTCATAGCTACACTTGTCATTTGTTTATTGTGTTTCCTGCTACTTTTTTTTAATCTCTCTCCAAATGTTTCATTTCTGAACCAACAGTTAATAATTTATGCTATTTACCTAGAATATCTAAAAACTGCAGAAATGTAAAAATAGCACAGGCATGTAGAATTCCGCAAACATGTGGCAGAAATGAGCATCGGGATCATTATACGTATCAGCATAAATAGATTATATGTAACATCAAAACAATTAAAACTAGAACTGCCACGGTTATGGCGTGAATAGTTTCCGCATACCACTGCCAAATCTGAGGTTACTTAGCCAGTGCATTGCTAAGTTATGTATTCTACATGCTTTAAATGTGAAAATGTCAAAATCAGGACACTGCAGACAAGCATTCTTAAGCATCTGAGCAGACATGCTTATTATAGTAAAAGTCCCTGTTACCTTGACCTTTGACACAGCCACCTAAAATCAATAGGGGTCATCTACTAGTCATAAACAACCCCAATACCAAATATGAAGACTGTTGACCAAAGCATTCTTAAGCAGACAAGCTCTTTTAGTCAAGGCCCTTGTGACCTTGACCTTTGACCCAGTGACCTCAAAATCAAAAAGTGTCACCTAATGGTCATTATCAACCTCCATGCCAAAAATGAAAACTGTTGGTCAAAGGAATCTGAAGTTATTTGGCGGACAAGCTTTTTTAGTCAAGGCCCCTGTGATGACCTTTACCTTTGACCCAGTGACCTCAAAATCAGCATGGGTCATGTCCTAATCGTGACAAACCTCCATGCCATATATGAAGACTGTGGGTCAAATAAATCTAAGCTGTTGGGCAGACAAGCATTTTTTAGTCAAGGCCCCTGTGACCTTGACCTTTGACCTGGTGACCTCAAAATCAATAGGATCATATAATGGTCATGACCAACCTCCATGGCAAATATAAAGACTGTGGGTCAAAAGAATCTTAAGTTATTGGGGGGACAAGTTTTTTATTCAAGGCCCCTGTGACCTTGATCTTTGACCTGGTGAACTCAAAACCAATGGGAATCATCTACTAATCATGACCAATCTAAATACCAAATATGAAGACTGTGGGTCAAAGTAATCTTAAGTTATTGGGTGAACAAGCTTTTTTTAGTCAAGGCCTCTGTGACATTGACCTTTGACCTGGTGACCTCAAAATCAATAGGAATCATCTTCTAATCATGACCAATCTAAATACCAAATATGAAGACTGTGGGTCAAAGGAATTTTAAAGTATTGGGCGGACAAGGAAAATCGACGGCCGGCTGGACGGGGAGACAGCCGGACGGCCAGAGGGACAAGCTGATTCCAGTATACCTCCTTACAATTTCGTTGTGGTGGGGAGAGGGGTATAAAAATATTGCCTTAGCAGCCGTATGCGATAATCCACTCCAATTGATGTTCTATAAAATATGTTTGTCCGTTTAATTACCGTATTGCTAAGTTTCAGTAACAAGACACTTTGATATGCAGATTATACTGATAACGGTATACTAATGATAAGTAAACACAAAACACGGGCATCGAACAGGTAACAGACAGAACAATTGTATATATAACATATTAAGATTAGGGATGGGTCAAGGTAGATATTACATTTGAGATTTGGCATGTTGGATCTGGCATTGAAGATTGGGCATTGCGGTTGTGTAGTAGGGGATGGGACACTGGAGATAAAATATTTAGTATTGGGCATGGGGGTGGGCAGGGGGATTTTTCAGGGTATAATGTACCTAGAACAGGGACACTCAGCACTTAGTTTGTCTGGGCAATGCACGTATTATATTATTTTTTGTTTTATAATTATTTTTCCTGACTATACTTTGGAGGTGGACAATTCGCTCATAGGTCCTGTTACATATGTATACTAAAGGTGCAAATGTACCTTACTTTTGTATCGTTGTTTACAATATATTTGATAATATCATTTGCAAGTTTTATATTAAAGCAGTCAAGCAAGAATGTACCGTCTTTTCTAGCTTTTTGGTGCATCTATTAAACTAGAAAAAAGTGGTGTTTGTCTTAAAGGGATATTCAGGCAAAATGATGACAAAAATATTAAAATGATCTTATGTACTAAAATTACACTAAAATAACTTTTCTTGAAGTTTCAGCATGAATTTCTGTTTAAATTCTATATATTTTGAGTTTGAAGCGTAAATATATCTATACATGTTGAACAAAAATTAGACGCCAATAGAATCACCAAATAGTTTTAAAACAAGTCCGGTGACTTGAACAAACCCTTGAACATACAATAACAGATATTGTGGATAGTGTATGATTGAAACATGTCTAAGCCATTCATTTGATATGCTCTTTAACGTTTCCAGAGTTCACTTTGACAACTATTGTGAAATCCTAGCGCTCTAACCTGACCCACGCGGGTCAAGTTAGGAAACCACCATTTTATTCTTTATATGAGGAAAAGTTTTGTTCCTTTGACTGTCTAATATATTCATTTTGATGGCCTTTACAGAATAATGAATGAAAAATTCAAAAGTACGAAATCAAAATTTTGCCTGTGTCGCCTCAGAAAGCTGTGACGTGAACATACTGTCATTGTGATTACGTTTACTTGTCCCTTTAATTATGAATAAAGTAATATTGTAACATAAATTGATAGTTGTTAAATTATTTTATTAAAATTGTTAACAAATCAGTCAGGAAAGTTGCATTGTAATGTACGAACTGCAAATTAGAGACCATAAACTATAAATCTATAAAACAATAAAACATAAAACAAGTAATGTCACAAAAAATTAACAACAAAAGAGTTTGAAATAATCTCTACAAATAAGAATTTATATAAATTAAACTACTCATATAATTAACAAACACAAAGAATGCTTCGCCTTTGCCTAGGATATACACGTTTCACAAATTATACAATATGACAAATCCACGTTGAAACATACAAATGAGTTCATTCGATGGAAAAAAAACTAACTCTCACCGTATGATGGCAACAGTGAAGTCATATTGCAGCAGTGATGATAATTTAATGAATACTGATTACAACAGGTAGGTTATAAATATGCCTGGTTTATTTTTATCACGCATATAAGGACAATTTCATTGCTTTAGACTAACAGTAAATTGCCCCGAGACAGTATTGGGCATTTTTTATTCGTTTCCCTTTTTATAAAATATTTCAGCACATTAAACTGACCCGTCGTGATGATTATTTTTCCAACTTGAGATATTTTGAACACGCAACAACCATTTTTTTCCGGATTTTTTTCTGTTGCTGTTACTTTTTGTCCGCTCAAAATAATTTATGAAATGGGGAACCCATAAATACCCTATAATATCTTCAGTCAATTGGCAGTAAGTCTACAGTAATAAATTATATTTTTTGCTTATTTGGAATTAACCAATCAAATGTTTGTTCTACCAGTAGTAATCAGTAAATTGTAGATTTCTGTCGCCAAAATCCCGGACGGCGGAGGACACTTTGCGATTGATCATGAAATTATTTCTACGGTCATTTGTACTGTTCATCTGCTCTGGCATGCAGCGAATATCCTTGCAAAAGTGAAGCCAACAAGTATTGATAATGTCTAGGAACGATGCAATGGCTGACCTTTGCTTCAATCTACAAACACTAACACCATTACTGCAGGAATGTGTCATCACTGGCGCTGGAAATACGGTGTGTAATACAAGCAATTAATTCTTGAATAATACCATTCTTCAGGAATACTGAAACAAGTTTGACTAATTTCAGCAAAACATGATTTGATGTTACACAATGATAGCTTCTGGTAAAATACTAGTACATCATGTTTTTGTTGCTGTTTATTTACTAAAATTGCATTATTATTTTCTGTTGACGGCGATGATTGAACTTGTCTTTTATATTCTCCATGGCTCCTTCATCTGTTGGGGCTTTTTTCCTTAAAACAAGAATTATATTAAACAAATTGCATTCACTGGCTTCAAACTGTATCGTAAAGCATTATTTTATATTGACCTATGACGTTTATATCAGATTTGGTTATACCAGTACCCTACATAAACAGATTATAGAAATGCAAATGGGTATTAATTGTTTAATATTTGTTTATTATATCTATGAACGAGACTTTCTTTTGCGCCTTTCTGAAGATACACATTAAGATGTTATATATTATTAAGCATTTAATTTAATAACAGTTTCCTATACCTTGATGGTATTTTCAATAATTACCCCCTGTTTTTCGATCTACATATTACACTCGATAACAATAGTATTCACAAAAAAATCTATGATAAGAGAGATAACTTTGACTTTGGTATAGTCAAGTATCCATATTTAAATAGAGATATAACTCATACAAAGTCTTCTGAGTATATGTATCTCTGTTAACTTGTTTTGCTAGGGCGTGTAGGCATGTTAACGATTTTTACAAAGGGAATATTTTCATAACTAGCAACTTCTAAAACAGGACTTTCGCTGACATAAGTTACAGAAGTAATTTACTTAATTTTATAACTGTAATTTCGATATAATTTCAAAATTCAATAGCGATTTGAATACTATTCAGCGACAAGGGATTAGCAAGCCTGACTTCTATGGAAATGTGATTTACAAACTCCGATCTCGGTTATGTTTTGGCTTCCTTTTTAAAATAAACGATCTATTAAAAGATGTTATTACCTCTACTCTTTTAAAAGACATACTGCATGTTAGGTGTTCAACCCTTTTACAGTTGGCAACTACGCTTTCTTCTTTTGATAACCACTGTTAGAATTTCGTTCGGTGGAAATTAATTTTTTACACTGTCTCGTTTAAAAGAAACATGTTTGGGGCTAAGAATTAGGTGAAGTACACCAATAACTGGTTTAAACTCCCTAGCAGTGCGAATATTGCTTATCGTTCCAAAGCGGCGCCCCCTGTGTTCTTCAAGTGTATGATTTGCTTATTGCTACATACAATTGTTGTGACATTTTTATGTCCTTTTTTTGTTTTTTCGTCCAAGATAAATATCTCCCCCTTCCCCTGATTATTTACCCATCCCATCCTTCGGACCCCTTCCTTTGCACCCTTGCCCTTTTTAGGGCCTTTTATAAATATTAATCTTTCATTACCTTTTACGTTTCTATGATTTCCTGTTTTGTCCGTTGGCGCTGCCCTGTTTGGTGTCCTACTTGGTTCCTTCCTGGTGGTCCTCCTGTTATGGAAGTTGCGTTCATTGAATGTTTCCCGCCCTTGTTGATCATGTTTTTCATATTTGCTTGATAATGTAAAATGAAGTCAACATAAAATGCGTAGTATAATGATATTCTATTGGCAATTAACATGATTTATTTTCTTAAGAGCACATATTAAATGCATTCGTCCTCTGCAGCTGATTTGTGTTACATTGTGTTGTTAAAACATTCAAGAAACGGTTTTGCAAATAAGTAGAAGTGAATAAAAATCAAGGTTATAACAAACATTCTCTTTTATAACGTGTGCTAAAAAAATTCTAACTGGATTGATCGTTTTCAAAAACATTTAATGTTTTTAGGGGATAAGAACGAAAACAAATCTTTTGCCGGGCAACAGCTGTTAAGTATTGGCAAGCAAGAAGGCCTGGCAAATATGGCAGCAGTGAACAACTTACTGATAGTTGGTGGCTTCCCTTAGTTCTTCAGGTTCTTCGGGCAATTTCATCCGTGATTTCTTTTGTTGTAAATTCATTCTTTAAAAAGATATATTTTAGGTTTATGAAATTCATATTAATAGACAATTGTTATGTAAGAAACCATGCTATTATCATCATTTATTAAATGTTTTTGATAAAAGTTCTAAGTGATTTTTTTTTGTTCAATAATAATTTATGTAGCCATGTAAAGTCGGATCATGTCCATGTACCTTACAGACAACACCCATGTTTTATTCTGTCGTGGTTTGTTATTATATACAATACAAATAACCACTAACATGATTGCATATTATTTAACAAATGTTCCATATAAGACAAATATACTTTAATGTATTAAGGGGACAAAAAATAACAGCAACAGTTTAGAATTATTGGCAAGATGTTGCAAACTTGGCAGTATTCAACAACTTAAAGACCAGTTTCTTCGTGAATTGTCTTGGTCTTTACGCATTCTTAAGAAAAGTTTACTTGATATCAATGTACGGAAAAGCAGTATATCTTCGGTGGGCAATAGTTATATGTCCTATTTAAGTGATCGTTTTTAAATTAACAGTTTAAAATAGATTTGTCTTTAATAGGAACCTTTTTCCATAAATATTTCAAATATTGATAAAAACACCAGAAATGTATAATTTGAATATTCTTATAAATATTTCTTAGAAAACGGTTGATAAGAGTTCTAAGTGATATTAAGAATGAACATTTTATACGAGAAATAACATTTTGTTCTAGAACAATTTATTATCAACTATATATGTAGCAACGTAAATTTGCATGTACGTGTATTGTACACTTACGTACAATATCCATATTTTATTACGTCGTGGTTTGTTATCACATACAATAATAATTACTATCAATATGATTGTTTATGATATTATATTACAAACGTTCCATTGCAGTCAAATTAACCTCAATGTTTTTAGGAAACAAAAAGAACAAGACATCTATTGCCGGGAAAAAATTTAGAACTTGCTGTTTAATTATTGGCAAGTTGTGGCAAATATGACAGTATTAAACAACTTACGGCTGGGTGGCGGTGTCGCTTCGTTCTACCAGCCTTTCCCTTTGTGAACTGTCTTCTTGTACATGCATTCTTTAAAAAGATATATTTTAAGCATGTAAAATTTAAGAACTGCAATGCAAGAGACCACGTTATTATCATTATTATGATTAAGTAAATGCTCTAATTATTTTAAGGTAAATGCTGATAATAGATAATTATATAACATATACTTTGAATTACATTCCATTTTTAATTACGATGTTAAAATACTCATAAAATATCATATAAATCAATATACATGTTTATAGTACGATGTTCAACATTCATCTGCCCTATCAAAGTGGTCATATTCAAATAAACTAACAGCTTCAAGTTGATTGGCCTACAATGTGAACCTTTTCCATAAATATTTCAAATATTGATGAAAATTACAAATATAAATCTATTAATGCTTTGAAAACTCTGATATGCAAAAAAAGTGATTATTTTGGAAAAAACATTGTGAGAAAATGATCTGAAAATTTGCACACAAATAATCGGATAACACATTCAAATTCAGGACAAAATATACTATTTATGTATTATCATGTCACAACTGTATATACTGAATACTCTTGCATTTAGTGTAGCTATACAATATGAGCACAAGGTTTTTACAAAAGCTGTAACAAACCATTACACCACAGCCATTATTCAAAATGGAGTGCCCGTTTATTACATTTTTATGTTAGAAAACTTTTTATTCAGATAAAATCTTCTTAATAAAGATATGATGAAGAAACTAAATGAGCCGCGTCACGACAAAACCAACATAATGGGTTTGCATCCGCGCAGACTGATCAGGATCCATGCTGTTCGCTTACAAACCCTATTACGAGTAGAGAAACTGATAGCAAACAGTATGGATCCTGATCAGACTGCGCGGATGCGCAGGCTGGTCTGGATCCATGCTGGTCGCAAACCCATTATGATGGTTTTGTCGTGACGCGGCTCAAATCATGAGTGCATAAAATGTGTACGTCAGTGTATTTTGAATGTATTCAACTTTTTCATTGAAAGCATGCAAGACAGTGTCAAATAGGCGATAAACACCGCTCAGACCGATATAATATCATGTCTTAAACACACGGCAGTCCTTTGCTTTTGATCCGTTTAATTGTTTCCGGGCTGGCTGATCGTTCGCTATAATGATGTAAGGCCATTTAGGGCAAAATACTATGTACTGTTTCTAAACAAATTTCTAAACCCGTTTTAATGAATTAAATCTAATGGGCTTTCGAAGTTCATACTCAGGCAAATTCAAGTTTAAGCTAATAAACTCACTGACTAGTAAGTTTTCCTTTGCCTTTTCTCTTTTGTTTCCAACATTTCCACATACAATATCCAATACACAGAAGAATACATTTGACTCCAAGTAAACCAGCAACAGCAAGTCCAATTTCTTTTGCAATGTTGAACCGTTCATTATCTAACATAAAACATTTCTTTATTAAATGCACTAGGTTACGCCAGTGTTATATAAATATAAGACAGGTTTATCATTGAAAGTTAATTGCGTGGGATCAAAATACCATATGGACCGACATAATCATGTAAAGTTTGGCTTAAGAGGTGACAAACACCAACACGGCTTATTTGGTGCATTAGGAATGATCACATAAAACAGCAGTCTGTCAGTAAAGCAGACACAATATGTCATCAAAAAACGACTATATTTGTATGGTCATAGTCCTAAAAGTATTTAAGTCATACGGAAAGCGCATATAACAATACATGAGGAAATAAAAGTTTAAAAAAGCACGTTTGTTTCCCCAAAATGTATCCGGAAACCTTAATAAAGTATTTGTATTAACCTCCCTATATACATACAGTCATCGTTTCAATTTCAATGATAATAAAATGTATTGAATTGTTGATCATTATGATGCTCTCTGACAAAAAAAGTACCGAATTGCCAAATTCAGAATATAATTAAATGAATGAGCAATGTATATATACTTTTGACATACAAAATTATGAATATAAGTAAAATAAATTATACCATTTTCTTCAATCATGTACTTGTAAGCAGTATTGCATGATTCTTTGCTTTTATTCCCATATACTGCTAAAACTTTCAGAAAATATTTCCCGTTGTCACTAGATTTGGCAGAAATCATCTCTGTATACTGCACTTGCTGATCATACCCGCAATCAAAATCATTCGAACAACTTCTTGTATAATTGTCATGAATTGTTGGAATTATTTCCTCCTCAGTGTCACTACTGACCTACATGTGTGCAAATCGAGCAAATTTTAAGATAAGTGTAGTACAAATTACAATTATTGTAATTTCATTTTTTTTAATTGTTCATTAGCCCCACAAAAAATTGTATAACAACATTTATTACCCTTCCAGATTTTTTCCGCCTTTTTGATTGGATATTGATCACCCGAAAGAAATTGATATAACCGAGCCAGACGGGTAATATACACACTAAATTTCCCCGTTGGGTACCCCACGTTGTAAACAACATGCGCTGAGGTGATGCGCGTACGGTTCGATTTTACGCGGTGTAAATTCCGATTTACAAGCACTTTTTAACAGTCAAATGATAAATATTTACCAATGTAGAGTAATGATACATATTCTCATCAGTATTGAAAACAATGATGACCTGGTGAAAGCTTGATATTAATTACAAAAAAGTGCGTTCAATAGACTTCTCCTTTTCTCTTGTTTACATTCGTTAGGTACGGGAAAAATACGTCATGTATTTATGTGACGTCATGATGTGATGAAGGGGTATCCTAAAGGGAATCTTATTTCGACGTTTCATTTGAAACAGCAATGATTTTTTAAAAAATCGTCTAACCTCGGCAGGGGAAGGGTAATAAAATTATTATTTTGGTTTTGGAGTGATATATGTGGATATATTACCTGCCAAAATAAAATATCACCCTCGCCTAACGGCTCGGGTGATATAAAATCTTAGCAGGTAATATATCCACATATATCACTCCAAAACCAAAATAACATATAATAGCTTCTCATCCAAACCCTTACCTCTTAAAATGTCAAATCTTACGAACATACCAAGATTTGATGTCTATGGTGACACACAGGGACCACTTCTCTGACGTCTGTCTGCCTCCGTAAGTCCGTTTACAAAACTTGTCCGGACAACTCCTCAAAAACTACTGGTGCAATTTCATCTAAACTTTACAGGAGTGATCAGTACCAAGTCTTGTTATGCATATCATTGGCGATTTTTTTAGTTTAATGATATTTGACTCTTATACCTTTGATTTTTATTTTTAAAGTCCGCTCTTACACCAGTAATGTAACACGAATGAAACACATCTGCGGATGCTTCTAAATTCAAAATTTTACCATTTCATGTTTAAATGTTGAATTCTCTTTAAGCCGGAGCTAGGGGGCGTGGACGGTAGTTTGCACTTTACAGTTCCATCCATGAACAGGCTCAATCAAACATAGCCTGCAACATTTTCAATTTTGCCGTGTTGGGCTTTCTTAAAGGATTCTTATTTCTCTCTATTTTACATGATTTATCGGTAGCTCTAGTACTTGAGCATAATACACGTTTTTTTTTGGTTGAATAATTTTTTGCTAACATACGGACAATTAACAGATGGAAACCATAGGATTCGTCACATTATACGTGCCTTTGACTAGTTTTTTTTTAAAATAATGACATTTGAATAGAAAAATATATCATAAAGAATAAAACGCAATAATAAATTTCATAAACTCAAGTTGCTAAACAATGCATTGTTATCTGTGTGCGCTTCGGTTATTTACGGTATAAACAGCATTATAAAAGGTAATGTAAAATAACATACTGACATCTTTATCCATTTAAATGAAACTTCAGTTTCTTGAGATACACAGCCCGATATCGCCCTTACAGTCCCATTTATTGTATCTTCAAAAAGAAGAGGCTCATAGTCTGTAACAGATTAATTAATTAATTTGTTAATTGATAAATCCTGGAACATACGATAAAAATGTAATTACAGAATTGTGCCAATTCGATTATGTGGTGTTATTTTCATAAACCCTTTGTTAAATTCTAAAAAAGTATGCTTAGCCCGTCCCTACATCTGATTGTTAAACGACATTGGACATTTTTATATAACACGTTGTAATATATCCTTCTTCATAACACAAAAATCATTAAATGTTCAAAAGAGTTACTTTTTTCTTTGTATTACACATATTGGAATAACTATTCGAAAACTGGGCATACATTGGATTAAATTATTATGCTAACCTGTAACTTTTATAACTTCAGAGTCTATATCAGAACCATCTGAACAAATAAACTTTTTCCCGTTGTCTTCCTTAGTCATGTCTATCACGGTCAAATTGAAGATGCCATGTCTATCGTATGTAAACGTGTACTGTCCTTCATAATCAGGGGTTAAAGCGCATTTATTTCGCGTACAATTACAATTGGTGTAACATTGTTTGCATACATCCACACAATAGCAAATGTGTTCTTCTTAAACGTACAAGTAAGAGTAACATTTCTACCACATTCATATGGCATCTCACCAGTCTGATTACCCGGTTTCTGTATAGAAATATTTCCGCCTGAATTTAAAAGAAAAATGCAAAACAACTTAAACATTTTGAGAAATTGAAAAATGACGAACGCGTTTTCATAAACTTCTCATTATAAGGTTTATTAGATTAAATGATGTATTGATATGCATTGTAATACTTTTTTTGGCGTAAAATGTTGTGTATTTTGTTCAAAGCTACATACCATCGGTATTTTCATTCATGAATTTCATATTTTATTTTTTTTAGATAAATGAACAAAATATTCAAATAAACCTTAACAGCTTTATATAAACTATATCTTCTGTTGAGAAGATATAACGTATAATCAGTTCCCCTTCATTATTTATTTTAGAAAACTATAAAATGTATTTCCTACTTTAAAAGCTTTAGTTTCGATTACGTTAAATCTATATTAAAGGAGAAATGCGTGCTTACAATCATTTTATGGATATACTAGTAGTTGTCATTTTTTTCTTTAACATTTTTGTTGTTAGAAAAAAGATATATAAATTAAAAAGGCAAAACTGTTTGAATTGATCTTTTGCTACATAAATGAAAAGCTTAAACATATCAATTATAAATATGCTGATAAAGCGAATACATGTAAACAACCAACATTTTATCGCTTTAACAGCAATTGAGATTACACTATATATGATTTCTGTCATATATTCTTGCTATCATGTAATTGCGTGATATTTAAATTGTATTATATTTGTATTGTTACTCTGAACGACAAACGACAACCTCGATGCCCTATGTAAAGGTATGTCGGTTTTGAATGAAAAACTTAACGATCATAAACAATTGGTCCAAGAAGATTTCAAAGAAAATCAAAATCTGAAAGTATACATGAGGGACGCAGCTGAAGACTGTATTGGAACTCTTGAAAAAAGATACATGATCTTGAAAAGTACGGAAGGAGAACTTTGCTCAGGGTCTATCGGGTACAAATATATTCCCCAGATATAAACGCTCAGGAGAATATCGGTAATGAAAGTTTACAAGCTATAAGCAGAACCAGCCAAACGCTTACCTAAGCACACTTAGACACTGATAAAATCTTGATAAATATTTGTAAAAGTAAGATGCATTTGAATCTACCAGTAAGTGCTGATGATATTGAACTCTCTCATACCATCGCCCCTGTGCTTGAAGGTTATGCACACATTTTATGCAAGTTAAAGGGTTGCAAAACTAAGAACAGAGTCTTCTTGAACAAATCCCATCTGAAAAATTATGAATCACACACATGACACATACAGAGTATTCGTTACAAAACAGAAAGGGGCAATATATTGTCCAACAATACGTTGCTAGAAAAAGTAAAAGCAATGACAGCTGCTTCTTGACCAGTGATGGTCGCATTCTGTATAAAACTAGGTCTACAAGTAAAGTGAGATCAGTCAACAGTATGAGTGATATTGAAGACCTATAACACGACACCCTTCGACCAAATGATAAGAAATGCTGGGGGAAAAAGGAAACCCACTTAAACCTGTATGATTTACATATGTTATGTTTTTGTTTGTTTTATGAAGAATCTTGATGTTCTCAGATCCAGTGTGTGGGTCACCGGACCGTTGCCTTCGGGTTTATGCACCCTAATTCACACTTTTATTGATGTGCTCTAATCGCCATATACAATGCTTGACATTGTGTGTACAAATTAACTTCCCTGGAATGAAAACATAGTTTAAGTAGCCATTAAGCGTCCACTTGTTCCACTATAGTGAAAAGATACAAGATACAAGTGTTTCTGTTTGCGAAGTAAGTGTTTGATAATGTAGTTTTATGGTTTTGCGGTAGATAATACTATAGATAAAACATGGTTGGAGGAGGATAGTGGCATAATAATATTTTAGTTCTCAGGTGGACAATATATACTACCAAAACATTCTTAGTTATTTATGTAATATGCTCGAAGTGTGTTTTAACAGATACAAAAGAAATAAAATATATAGCTATGTCACCTTATATCGTATAAAAACAAAAATATTCATGCATCTGTTATATTAGTGTCAATAAATAACGAACCAAAAGGTGACAAACCTGTGTTATGTTTGTGTCAATCATAGTTTAGTTTGTATACAAATTTATACCAGTTCGATTGTGTTGAAAGCTATAAGATTTTTAAACATTCTCGATACAAAAAAAACACAATATAAATTACATTAGCATTGTAATATATTTAACTTAAATAAAGATTCTCCGGTGAGTTTTCCCATCTTATCAAGGGTAACAAATAAACTTATACAGTCACAGCTTTGCAAACATACCGCCAATAAGCGCAACGCATTGATTATCTGATTGTGCATAGTGGTGCACCACGAATCTCTTAAACTTTGTACCAACAGATAAGAAGTAAATATCAACATTTGCCGAGTTCAAGATAACACCTATCATAACACCTATCAATCGGAACATCTGGAGTGTTATTTATAATAACCTCGAACTTAATAAAAATTGAAACAAGTTATACCACATGGTTTGAGATGTAAAGAAAAACAGACTATGCAATCTTTGATAATGTATAACGAATAGCATCCAAAAGGAAATAAAGTCTATGTCGGTAAAGCTATGATTGAAAATATGTCTTTAAAATTGACCACTGATGTACGATTTAAAAAATATATGAATTAATGCCATTTTTTGACATTTTGTACTTTCGATTTCTACAACAATAATTTATAAATGTATAAATAATGTACTGTATACTTTTCATATCTATAAGTTTGCATAATTTATTTAGGTGTAAAGTTACTTGACACATTGGAATAAACGTAGTCTGCAACTCCCAGCATTAAATTTCTATTTGTTTACATGTTTTAGTTTACTAACGTACGTTAGACCAAAATACTGTTTATG